CTCTTCCACTTCCTCCTCCTCCTCCTCCTCCTCCTTCTTTTTCTTCTTCTTTTTCCTCTTCTTCTTCATTCACTTCATCTTGTGACAGTTGGTTGATTAGTTCATCTACTCATTCCTTGGTTCGTGCCTCCTTCTGGCGTGATTTTGTTCATTCGTTTATCTATTTGATTCACTCCATGTTGTGATCGTGAGTTAATAGTTCATCTGCTAAGTCCATATCACCTTTTGACAGTTAGTTCGTTAGTTCATCGACTAATTACTTGGTTGGCATCTCCTTGACTCCACTCACATGGGTCCGCGAAGCCTTCAACATGGCGGACAAAAACGGTGACGGCCATCTTGATTTTGAAGAGGTCCTGAAACTCCTGAAGACTCTCAACACAGACATCAAGAAAAAATACGCGAAGGAGATGTTTGATGTGAGTATTGGTACATTCGTAATGTTGTTGGTGGGTTGTGGTTATCATTATTGGTGTGTTGTGTTTATCATTGTTGGTGCGTTGTGAGTTCTTCCCCACGCCTATTGTTGGTGGATTGTGGGTATTGCCATTATACTATTTTTGGTGGAATGGGAATATTGGCAGTATACCAAAGATTCTCCACTAGTGGAAAATCTTTGATTATACTATCGTTGGTGGGTTGGGAGTATTGATAATGATACAGTTGATGGGTTGTGAGTATTGAAATTACTTTATGTAGGTTAGATGTGAGTATTGGCATCACTTTATTGCAGGTGGATTTTAAGTATTGACACTATCTTTTATCGTTGGTGGGATGTGAACATTGCTATTTCCCTATTTCAATAGTAGCCAATGCTCGGTACTGTTTATCCTTGCTGAAATGCTACCCCAGTCGTATCTTGCCGTTATCTGATATGGAAAACCCATGGAGAACTATCAAAGTTATTTTCAACCAAATTCGAAGCTGAATAAAGTCAGGGCTCAACGTTCGATTTCGAGAAGATATTTTCCGATTTGGCCGTATGGCATAAGAGAGAGAGAGAGAGAGAGAGAGAGAGAGGGAGGGAGGGAGAGAGGGGAGAGTAGAGGGAGAGACAGACAGAGACAGACAGAGACAGACACAGAGAGAGACAGAGAGACAGAGACAGAGAGAGAGATAGAGGGAGAGAGAGAGGGGGGGATACAGACAGAGTCAGAGAGATAGAGGGAGAGAGAATTATTGCACAATGGCATACGAAGTCGTACGGGTGGTTGGGTGTATTAATGGGAGGTCTTTTTTTTCTTTCCCTCTGTAATTTACGACTGTCCGTTTTGCCTTTACCTTTCTCAAAATAGCTTGGTATTCTTTTCTTTACTCTGAAAAATGAACAAGCTCGCTTGTTTGTTTTGAGTCCGATTAGAATCGATCTGAAGCTAGTTCAGAACATCTGTTCAGGAAGCCCATAACCTTATAACCATAGCATAAAGTATGTTGAGGAAGACAAATGTACACCGTTACCCGACCTGTCACAGGGTGACGTGACGTCCACCTATGAGATAAACTAATGAGCTGCGATAAAGTGACGTGAACTAAGTAGATAAACTAATGAACTCACTGTCACAAGGTGACACGAACTAAACAGCCGTTAAGTCTTTTTGAGTATTTCGAAGTTCTGTTCCGACAACAGATGCCGTTGTGTCACAACTCGTTTGTACTATAATTTACTATCTTGAGTGAGTTTTTCTTTTCCCCCTCCGCTAAACATTATTCAGGGGACGCAACAGAGAACAAAACTCGTTCCGTATCTTCAGACTCGAGTTAACTCCTTCGGGAAATTACCAATAAGCTGGTGTAATTATTATTATGTCAATGTCTTTCTGAATTACTACAGAATGAGGGGGA